TGTGTGTGTGCGTGTGTGTGTGTGTGTGTGTGTGTGTGTGTGTGTGTGTGTGTGTGTGTGTGTGTGTGTGTGTGTGTGCGTCTGTGTGTCTGTCAGTGTATTTGGCTTTGTTTCGTTGAACGTAAAAGACGTGATTCAGATTCCCATTTGAGGTAATTTGTTTTGTCGAGTCTCTCCACCTTTCTGCAGGGAAACTGTATCCCACTAGATCTAGACCCAGGATTACCGTAATAGCCAGGATCTATGCATGCCGCTCCATCTGTGATCTAAATAGAACAACATTTGCAGAACTGTACATGTTTGACGTCCCTTGTAACGCATTTATGTTATATAAGCGGTTATCTAAATTATTTATTTAAAGTCAAAAGTGGTGAAACATAATAAAATTAACATTTACAATGATTTTGAAGTTTTATTTATGATCATTTTGAGTTAATGAATTCAAAAGTCCAGGTCAATCCATTTATTATCTAGACAGGAAACCAAAGACGCCGACCACTGTTTTATGACGATAAAGACGGTTTTTCAGTATGCCATAATCAAGAATACGTTTACATGGATAAAATGATCTTTAAATAATATTATAGTTAACATTCAATAACTTCAAAGGTTTCTTGGAACAGTCAGCTAATCAACACGTGGATACAATACAGATATTGAACTGGCATCTGTCCTGTAGTGTAGTTTTGGGCGCTTTGCTGTCGCTCGCAGGGGAACTGAGTTTTATTGCTTGGACGTTAAACCCCTCTCTGTCCCGGTTGGCCCTGTAAGGAAAAGTCGAAGTCCTCCTCCTTATTGATCCAAACCGTGTTGATGGAGACGTAAAAGACCCACATAAAAATTAGAAATGGGAAATTAGAGGACTGAATCCTGGTGTGGGTTGGGAAGTGGGAAGAAAGTGTCCAAGTTATTTTCTTTATCGTTTAGCCCTTTGTACTAACGGGGTACAAAATATTTCATCTTTAAATGTTGCACTGTGTATCTAACATCTGTAAACAGAAAAAGCTAGAAACGAAGACAAAAGACACCACCCTCCCGAAAAAAGCCATTTTGAAAATCAGGAAACAAGAATGCGAATAATGCCACTTGAAAGAGAAAGGGATAACAAGGTAAACCTTGATCAGCGAAGAGTGAAATATTTCTCCCTAATGGTTTACCCTTGGATTGCAAAATCATTCAGGGTGAAGAAGTGTTACGATTGATGCACTGGGTGAGGTTGGGTTGAGTTTGGAGACTTTATTTCTTGTATCTGAACACACAC